ACAGGGTATCTGACCTCCTGCCGGTCAGTGCCCTGGTTAGTCCAGCAACCCACCCACAAAACAGAAACAGCAGTACAGCCCACCCACAATAACTGGTTACTACAGCTGGGTAGAGGAGAACTTTGTCCATGTCCAGGTGCCTCACCACGACTGTGTGGGCAACGGTTAGGCTGCCTTGGTGGGTTGCTGAGTGGGCAGAGACCAGCGGTACTCTGCCCTGATGCCAGTGCTACCACGGAAGTAGCCTGGTGGGAGCCTGGTTGTGGGAGGTAGAGACCGACTGTCTCCCCTCTGGATACACCGCTCTGTGGCTGGGGAACAGGACCAACTGTCCCTACCCCTTGTGCTGTAAGTGCAGAGACTACAGTCCCATCTGCACTGTTGGGGGGTGTATCATCTCCCCTTGCTGGGTTAGGCTGCCGCTGGAGAGAGGGTGTAACAAGCTCCTCTCTCTGAACTGTAAACTGCCGCTGGGGAGAAGGGGTATCAGGCTCCTCTCCCTGACACTCTCTCTGCTGGTGGAGAGGGGGACCAGCTGTCTCCCCTCTCATTATTTTGTCCTGTGGTTGGGGTGCGAGACTGACGGTCTCTGCTCCCTGCAGGACACTCTGCCGCTGGGGAGGAAGGACGGCACCTTCAGCTCCCTGGGGTGCACACTGCCGCTGGGGAGGAAGGACTGCACCTTCAGCTCCCTGGGGTACATACTGCCGCTGGAGATCTGGGCCGACCGCCCAGCATCCCTGTAGGGCCGCTTGAGAGACCGCCGTCCCATCTCCACCTGCCATCTGTGGGTCTGCCCAGGACCAGTCTGTGAGGTCCCTCAACATTTGCGAGTAAGGACCACCTGCTTCCGCACCTGGCAACTCCGGCTGCTGCTGGGGATCTGGGCTGGTCCCATCTCCACCTGCCTGTTGTGGTTCCTCACAGGACCAGTCTATGAGGACCCCTACTTCGGGTTCCTGCGGCCGCCTCAGGGGGAGACGGCTAGCCTCCTCGGATGCAGCCTCTACTCGGCTGCCGTAACACTCCTTCCGCTGAGCATACTCTCTCTCTTTCGCCAGACGGAATTCTCGGGCCAGCCTTGTGTTTCGCTCGGCCGTGACCTGGTTCCAGATCACCCGGCGTACCTCCATGGGTAAATCATCCCCATACTGGGCCACTCGCTGCCTCACCTCGGCCATCTGGGCCACTCGCTGCCTCACCTCGGCCATCCAATCATTGCCAGAGCCTTCCATACTTGTCTGCTCCAAGTCGCTGGATACCTCTGCTCCCAGGGGCGCTGCACGTGTGCTAGCGTTGCCCTCAATTTGTAACTCCACGAACTGTGTCTCTGAGCTGCTTTACCTCGCACTAGGACGCCATCCCACCGCTGCCACCAATGTAACGGATCGCCTGGCACCCTGACTGGGTACCTCCGTTGAAAGATGCTCCTAGCGCTTCCTGAGGACTCCAAGCACTGCAGCAGACACCTTCTCTCAAGCATAAGAATGCTGTAGACAGTTGAATAGGAACCATACGAATAGGTTTACTCTCCTAGCAGTCAAACTGGAACAGCATACAATAAATCCTTCCCCCAATAATGAGACGACGCTTCACTTTGAGGGTTAAGCAGGAACTCCCTGTACTGTCACATACAGTCTCTTTTATTCCCAATCCACAAACATAGTACAGCCCACAGGGCGTTACAAAACAGCCAATCAATCCATACAATACACGCAGACACTCCCACACAAAATCCTCCCCTCTGCAGGTGATATGATTACTGAACACAATGGGTAATCTCATTATCACCGGCAGAGGAATACAGTTTTTACACTATATTTCTAACTTCTAAAATATACATGTCACAAACATAAAACATACATTTTCATAATCAATCCATTCAGGGGAACAACATATTAAAAAATGACACGAATCAGACCAGGGGTTCAAAAGTTAAGGGAAAGTCCTTTGTGACTAAATGAAGCATGGCTTTCTGGCCCAAACCAGTTTCAGAGTCTTCTATCCTGGAGAGTAATTCAATTATCTCCCAGGATAGACACAAGACTCCATTAAGCACATGGTTGCAAAAGACACAAAACACTTTAAAATACATAAAGTCACATTTACACATAACACACAGACATTTCACATATCCCCAGATAGCTGGGATCCGAGTGCACATTATTAGATGAATGGCACTCAGATCACACAAATAAGCCTTTCCGCAGGGGAAATAAACGGTTTAACCTGCAGGGCCATAGTCCAAAGGGAGCAGGCGAGCAACCAGGCTTCTCCAGTTCACAGTGGCGAGGTTGGTTTCGCCACAGTGTGTGTGTGTACCTCTGTGTGTGGATGTGCCAGTGTGTGTGTGTATCAAAGTGCTTGTATCCGTGTGTCAAAGGGTGTGTATCTGAGTGTGTGTGTGTATGTGTCAGTATGTGTCAAGGTGTGAGCATGTGTCAGTGTGCCTATGTGTGCATCTGCATGTTAATGTGTATGTGTATATGTGTTATAGAAATCACGCAACATGCAAACAGAGCCCTGCAAACACAAACATTACATACAAACACACCAGTTTGCTGAAACACCAATACTACACACAAATGTACACAACACTACATCCAAACAACCCCCTGCATGCAAATACAAACATTACATACAAACACATTCCTGTATTAAAACGCTAAAATTATATACAAACACCAACTCTACACACAAAAGTACACCTGCATTCAAAAGCCAACATTACAGACAATCACAGATTACTGCATTAAAACGCAAACACTACACACAAGTACACCACTGCATTCCAATGGTAACAGTACATACAAATACACCCCTACATGCACACATACATTCTATACAATAACATGCTGACATTCAATTGCACAAACACTGCTCAAAAATACAACCCTGCAAGGATGGTAGATCCCCGCCTGGCATAGCATCGCAGGAGTTGTATGACAGATGGGGATCTATCTTTTCTTTACACTTGTGCTACAGGGCAGGCCTGAATTATTTTTTTTTTGCACCAAGGCACTCTCTACATTAGTTTCGCCTCTAGGTTGGGGTGGAGGGAGTGATTGCATGCCCAGGGGGCCCAAGCAGATGCTTGCCCAGGGTCCAATCAATATTAAAGACGGCCCTGGTTGTAGTGGGTGCAAGGAGGGATAGAAGCTGTAGAGGGTGCAGGGGTGGATAGAGGTTATAGTGGGAGCAGGGAGGTATAGAAGCTGTAGAGGGTGCAGGGGTGGATAGAGGTTATAGTGGGAGCAGGGAGGGATAGAAGTTGTAGTGGTTGAAGGGGTGGATAGAAGTTGTAGTGGGTGCAGGGAGGCTTAAAAGCTGTAGTGGGAACAGGGAGGGAGAGAAGCTGTAGTGGTTGTAGAGAGGGATATAGGCTGTTACTGGAGACATATGGGCTATGGTAGCTACAGGGAGACATAAGGGTTGTAGCAGTGAAGGGAGGGATGGGTGCTGTTGTGGGTGAAGGGGGCGGAGGTGGGTGCAGGGAGCTGCCAGGCAGCTGCAGCTCCTTTTTTTCCAGGTGCTCTGCAAGAGAGGGCAGGAAGTGATATCACTTCCCAACTCCATGGGCCTGCCCCTTCCCACTCACAGAGAGCACCGCACGTGGAGGAGACCTGGCAGCAAGAACTGAGTGATCGCTTACAGGTCTCTCTGAGAAGGGGTGGGGAGTCACTTACAGTGTGATAGGTGTAGCGGAGCTTCAATATTAAATCCCAATATCTCCGCTGGTAGAATAAAGTAATTCAAGAAAAGCGCTGAATGAAGGCAATATCCCAAATCCCCCAGTAACCGGATGAAATAAAGTTCTGGGAGTCAACTGAGGTTTTATTCACAGGTCACAGTATTTATGTGGTTCCCCATGCAAGGAGTTTCCTTAATCACTTTACAGAGGTTGTACAGTGGGGGACTACATGGAGAACTGAACATACAGGACCATTTTCCCACCATGCACTGCTGTACGAGAAGGATACTCCCATAAGAATACCATGTTAAGTAGATTATCCCTCTGTACAGCAGAACCGGTCTTTTTACTTAAAAATTTGTAACTTGCATGTTATACGTGCTATTTAACTGAATGACATCTAGATAGATAGCTGGGATCTGAGCGTGTACTTCGGGAAAATACCGCTCAGATCTCAGCATAATTAGCCGAATGCCACGCGAAACACACTTTAATATGAACTCATAAGAAAATACACAAATGCACAGTTTGAAGGAAAGTATCAAAAGACCGGTGGTCCCGAACGGTCTGGAAGTCCAGCGGTGTTCGTGCCGTCGAGTAGCCGATTTTAGTTCCAGGCACTCAACGACCAAACACCGCTGGGCTAAAAGTGAATCCAAGATGGCCGCCACCAGTGTTAAAAGTCACTGTTTGTGAAACTACCATAGGAATGCTAGCGGCTTTCGCCCCACTAGCATACAAATGCCCTTTATCACCTCTTTAAGCGAACAACATAAAATAACATAGATTAAACAGTCTTTCCAGGACAACCATTATATATAAAGGAATAGTCTTGGCTAGGTTTGCCACAATAGGTAACAGGGGCTCTGCAACCTATTGCTGTACTATGTGTGTAATTATGTTTTTCTGGCTGCAGAGATCTATGATCAGCCAGGCCCCAGACTGTCTTAGTCCCTCGCTCTGTGACCGATCTGCCCGATTAGTCCACCCGCCCCTGTATATACACATTTTACTTTAGCAAATAAAATGTAATGTTTCTCAGTAAAGTGAGGAGTGAGATCGTGCTAATTTTACTAGAGTTTAGGGCCTAGCAATTTAGAGCTAGTGTTAGGTTTATCAGTAGTTTCTATAATTCATGATGTCATCTACTAAAACAACGGTGTCCCAGGAGGCACTGGTTGGCATGCTGCGGGCTTACCTGGAGTCTCATGGCTCAGGCGCCCTTGATGAAGTTATGGCCGGCGTTGCTGGAAGTTCGGGTGCTGCTGCACTGGAGAGGACGGGTGTAGGTGCTGCTGTGTTGGAGAGAATGGTGGAAGACCCCCTGCAGACGGTCGGAGGGCCAGGAGGACAAGGCCTCAGACACGTTTATCCCCAGTCCTCTAAGAAGAACCGGTACCAGGCGTGGAGATCGGAGGGTTGCGGTGAGGAGTTCCGGTAAGGATGGCTCGGAGGAGGCCCCCCAGGTGAATAGTAGGCACGGGCGATCTGCCATTGTGTCGGGGGCAAGGGCCCAAGATGGCGCCGGCATGGCGGTTCGTTCCCGGAGTCCGCCGTCTCTTCCGTTAAGAGCGGAAGTGACCTCATCGCGTCCGACGCATGGACACAGAAGAATGACTTTGGACGCATCGCCGGGGGGGCGCGTACATGACGCTGGCACAGCCGGATGCTGCCACGACACAGGCCCAGCCTCCCCTTCCTCTCCAGCGGGTCGGGGACCCCGGATCTATCCTCAGGAGCCCAGCAACTCTGCCGGAAGCCGGCAGGTGTGCCAGACATCGTGAAAGAGATGTCAGAAGCCCTGAAACTCTGCCAGAAGCAGGCAGGAGTGCCAGACACCCAGGGAGAGATGCTAGAAGATCCTCAACTCTGCTGGAAGCCAGCAGGAGTGCAAGGAGAATCAATTCTGCTCGGGGTGAGTCAGATTCAGGCTCTTGGACAGAGGAAGAGGAAGAAGCTGTCATACCTACAGTGCAGGAGCCGCCTGTACCACTCTCCAGGAATGAGTTCACATAGGCGTGCGCATGGGGTGTGCCGGGTGTGCCTGGGCACACCCTAATCCCCGCGGCACAGCTCTGGAGTGAGACTGGTAGGGGAGATCTCAGGATCTCCCCTGTCTGCTCATGCAGAGCCGGCGCTATCCGAGCCTCCCCTCACCGACCCACAGGCAGTGAGGGAGTCAGGAGAGGACCTGGGGAGCTCTTGCCAGCAGCTCCGCCGGGTTCCTCTCGCGAGATCTGAGCGTTGCCGCGGCAACGCACAGATCTCGCGAGCTTGAACTCTAACCCTGCAGGCTAGAGTTCACTCACCACTGGACCACCAGGGAAGGCAGCAGCAGGTACCCCCTCCCTACATAAGGTAAGAAGGGAGGGTGGATAGTAAGTAATCTGCCCCCACCTCCACTGGACCACCAGGGAAGGCAGCAGCATGGTCCCCCCTCCCTACATAAGGTAAGAAGGGAGCAGCATGGTCCCCCCTCCCTACATAAGGTAAGAAGGGAGGGGGGATAGTTATCAACTAATCTGCCCCCACCTCCACAAATCACCCAAACATACAGCACACACACACATACATCACACAAAAAGCACACACACAGCACACAAACACAGCACCCACAGTACACTAACAGCCCACACACACACAGTACACTAACAGCACCCTTACACACAGCACACTAACAGTACCCTCACAACACCCACACACAGCACCCTCACACAGTACACGACACCCACACACAGCACACTAACAGAACCGTAACAAACACACACACAGCACACTACCAGTACCTTCACACACAGCACACAAACAGCACCCTCACACACAAACACACACACAAACACCCTCACCCACATAGCACACTACCAGCACCCTCACACACAAATCACACTACCAGCACCCTCACACAGCACACACAGCAGTGTATGTATGTGTGTGTGTGTGTGTATGTGTATATATATATATATACATACATACATACATATACACGCGGTGTGTGCTTGTGCTTTAGGGTGCACACCCTAATGCAATAGGCTGTGCACGCCTATGTGAGTTGACTTGCGCTAGCATCTGGGGTGAGTTGCCTGGGGATCAGGGTAGCTCTAGGGAGGTTTTGAGTTTACTGTGCGCAGTATTAGAGAAGCTGTCTGGGGGGTCGCAGGCGCAGAGCAATAGAGCGCAGGTAGTTAAAGGGGTTCAAGGGGGGTTTAGACCGTGTCTGCCTGGGTGTCTCATATCCCCCCTGGGAGTCCATATCCCTGCGGAGACGCAGGAAAGGATATGTAATGGTGAGTACATACAAAACAATAGGCGGAGCTGTGTGTAATCTTGAATAATCTGTAAAACAGAATAAATAAGAACAAATAGCGTAGTATGTCTGTAAAATGTTATAAAACAGAAAAAAGAATAGTTGAACTCACAAGGCTAGAGTCATACCATCATATGACTCTAAAGGTATGCTTCTTTGGACCATTTGGGGGTTGTCCAGAACCTTCTGTTGCTGGATTCTTAGTGTTCCCCCTTGTGTTCTTTGGTAGGTCTCCCAAGGAATACCCCAAGTATCCTAGTCCGTCGTTTTCCAGAGAAGGCTAGCTCTCTATTTGGGTATCTGGATTCAATCTGGGGGGCTTATAAGATTTATGGGGGTCAATGTTTGTTTCGCTGCGACCAACAATTTAGGCAAAAAATGGCAGCATGCCCGGATATGGATTTCAGCATGCAGGATGGTAGCCTATGGCTACTTCTGATGACACCGTGTAGGCCATCTCCCTTTTCTGGGCCTGCCGGCGTGCACAGTGGCGCGCCGGCAGGCCACAAGAGAGGAGTCTGCTGGCTGTTCAATGAAAGCCAGTGTAAATGATTCAGTTCCTGTCGTTTCAGACATGAATGCTCTCATTGTGGAGGAGCACACCCCGCTATGCACTGCTTTAAAAAGGGGAGACAGGCTACGGGAAAGGGAGCCGGCAGGGATGACGTACCTAGAAGTGAGGACTCCAGTGAGCGTCACAAGGATGCGGCCGTGGCTCAACCGGTATCCCAATAGACGTGCTGCGGCGGTTCTGTTCGGGTAATTTGCCCCTGGGGTGCGAGATTTCTTGCTCCTACTTCAAGATGTTTTCATCCTTTCTCGAATGGGTTACTGTCCAGCAATCAAGTTGGAACTCAGTTACGCACTACTTGGATGACTTCATGTTTGTGGGCCCTGCAGGGTCCCAAGTATGTGTGGACTTGCTGGCTTCCTTTCGGGCTATAGCTAAGGGGTTTGGGGTTCCGGTCACCAAAAATAAGACAGTGGGCCCGGTGACTGTGCTATTGTTTCTCGGTATCTAAATCAATACCGGTAATATGATTTTTCGGTTGCCGGAGGATAAGCTCACGGTTCTTCTGGAATTAGTGGACCGGGTCAAAGGAGCTAGGAAAGTTCAATTGCGTCCTTTTGGGTCACCTGACCTTTGCATGTCGGGTTCTGCCCATGGGTCGGGCATTCTGTCGTCGACTGTCGTTGGCCACGGTTGGTATTCAAGAACCGCATCATTTGATCAGGGTAAACAACCGCATGCGGGAGGATTTACGGGTCTGGAGTTCCTTCTGGGCACCTACAATGGCCACTCATGTTGGCTCTGGGAGGCTGCACCCAATGCATCGTTGGATCTCTTTATGGATGCTTCCGGCTCCGTGGGATTTGGAGCTTTCTTTCGTGGTCAGTGGTATGCGGAGTCATGGCCTGTGGGCTGGAAAGGTAGGGATACCATGTGCAACCTCACCTTTTTGGAGCTCTTTCCGATTGTGGTGTCATTGGAACTCTGGGGTGGAGATTTGCGAGGTAATGTTGTTGTTTTTCATACTGACAACATGAGCGCGGTTCACGTTATTACGCGGGCTACTTCTGCCTCCCCTCCAGTGCTGGCCTTGGCGCTTAGTTCTGTTGAGCTTACGCTTCAATGTATGGGTTAAGGCGTGTCATGTTCCTGGGGTATTGAATGTGGTGGCTGACTCTCTTTCTCGGTTGCAGTGGGACCGGTTTCGAGAGGCGGTGCCCGGTGCAGACCGCGTGGGTCTTCCCTGTCCTCCATCTTTATGGGACCTGGCTTTGGAGGGCTGAGATGATTGTGGTTGGATTCGCTATCCCAGGGGTCATGGTGGGCCTATCAGGTGGTATGGTCTCGCTGGCTGTCCTTGGCTGACAGGACTAAAGGGGTTTTATCAGAGGAGGGCCGGTTCGAGGCCACTCTGCTTCTCCTGGCCTCTTTGGAGTCTCACAGTAAGTCCAGTGCAGTGGCGGTGCATGCTATGTCTGCCTTGTCCTTTTGCTTTCGGTTTCTGGGTTGGAGGGATCTAACAAAAGAATTCCTTATTCAGCGAGTGTTGAAAGGTTGGAGACTTCAAAACGATAAGGATCATCGGAGGCCGATCTCAGCGGACCTGCTGGAGCTTTTGTTGAAGGATCTCCCGAAGGTATGTGCTTCTGACTTTGAGGTGTTGCTTTTTCGGGAAGCCTTTTCCGTATGTTTTTTTGGGGCATTCAGGGTGGTGGAGCTGGTGGCTCCTAACTTACGGTCGTTATCTTCTCTGTTGTTGTCGGACGTGCACCTGTCGGCTTCGGCTCTGGATCTGCGGGTTCGTCGGTCAAAGATCGACAGTTCTGGTCGAGGTGCCTGGGTTCGAATTGGTGCCGCTAGTTGCCCCTTATGCCCGGTGCGATTGTTGGAATCGTACTTAGCAGTTCGTCCGGGTGGGTTGGGCTCCTTATTGGTTCATGCTGATGGGTCCCCTTTAAGTCGATATCAGTTCTCTGCTGGGCTTAAGGCGGTTTTATTGGCAGTCGGTGTGGACGTTTTAGGATACTCGGCCCACTCCTTTCGGATTGGGGCCGCTACTCAGGCAGGCATGTTAGGATTCTCGGAGGCCTCGATTAAGCGGTTGGGCAGGTGGGAGTCGGGTCGCTTCAAGTTATATATGCGACCGCATCTTTTGTAATTTTCTTTCTCATAGGTTCCTCTCGTTTGTCTGGATTCTGGGTCACTCATATATTTATTTGGCAGCACGCAGAGCTGAGGAAAGGTCCTATGGGAGGAACTTAGGCTTTCCCTTTGAAGTGGCCAGGGTTCGGTGGCGAGGTGTTTGTGGTCTCTCCTGGGGCCAGTTTTTCACAGAATGTGTTCATTTACAGAGGTTTGTTTCTGGGCCTATTACGTTAATGGTTCACGCGTGAGGCAATGATTTGGGATGGGTCAGGACGGTGGATCACCTCTACATGATGAAACAGGATTTGGCTCTTCCGAGACCTCACGCTTATTTGGTCCGAAATGGTTCCGCGCCCCTGTTGGCGGCCATTGCCGCACGCCCGCGGGATTTAGCGGGCTCAGCGAAAATTGAACATGACGGTTGCCAGGTTTGTTCAAAGTCTCGGGGGCATAGTGGTTTGCCACATGGAGCTGGTAGGGGATAACAGGAACTTGATGCGGAGAGATGGTGTCCACCTAACTAGCATTGGGCTTGATATTTTTAATTTAGGACTTCAGTCTGGAGTGGAGTTGGCGCTGGCTGCGGGGGGCGTGATGCCGACAGGAGGGACTGGACAGGGTCGACATCGTGGTGGCGGTGTTCCTGGCCAGCGCATTGGTAATTGAAAGAAATTGATGAGTCAACTTGGGGAGTCGCAGCCTGCCGAGGGCTGATGGTGGTAGGCAGGCTGATATGAACTCATGGACAAAGAAGTAGTATCTGCCTGTTGGGAGAAGTCTCTCAACAGCTGGCAGTTGGATGGAAAGCTGGTCTGTGTTAAAATTAATAAAGCTGTGGCCATTGCCCTTACCCATAACTATTGTGTGGTGTTATTACTTACGCAGGGCAACGGGAGGTGGGTTTTTTTTTTTGGATCAGCAGTCATGCACTTTAGCATTGGTTGCCTTTCTCAGGATTGCCTCCACAGTAAATCAGCTCAGCTCAAACTGATCTCCACATACATATATGTATGTTTAAACACTGCCTGTCAGTTTTACATTAAAGCAACAGTACCACTCCACTTGCTGGATAAGATTTGCATGCAGGATCATTAAGGAAACTGAGTGTATTGCAGAGTACCCTTCACAGGGATACATATATATATATATATATATATATATATATTTACTGTACCTAGTGTACGTATTGAACGTGGGTGTCCTCTGGGAATTTTTTCATGGCACACCACCTGTGGTGACCCCCCCAGATATGCATTCAATGCTTGTAATGTGCCATCACCCTTTTTCTCAAGGAAACAGAGTGTATATACTATACTGCCTGAGTGCATTTATACTGTTACCCTGCACTGGGTTATTTACATATATACTGTACCGAGAGTACAAACAATACTGTGGCGGTCCTCTGGTGTTTTTCATGGCATGCCACCTGGGCTGACCCCCCAGCTATGCGTGTCTACTGGATATTGTGCCTATGGTTAACGTGGGTGTCCTCTGATTGTCACGGCGCACCACCTGGGGCGAAATAATTTATGCACTGAATGTCCCTCTGTGACGCACTAATCTGAAGTGATCGTGGTTTCAACTCCGGGTACAACGGTGGTACACCCATTACATAAGAGACACTCAGGTCTCCGCTATCTTTCAAGGGTATCCCCCTGTTCTATCAGGTGAGAGGGCCCTCCCACATTGGCACACATTACTACTATACACTCACGGGCATTAATAAATACATATTTTTGGGGGTTTCTATACCCTGGGCTCGCCCCAGTTGTACCAGGAGGGTGATACCTCTAGGTGATTACTCTGCCACTATTGCACCTCACTGTCCATCACTGTTTCACACACAGGACAGTTCCAGACATGGAAGACACACCGCAACTGACCCAAGACTTCCAGGCGATGATTAACGCCGTGGTTGCGGCCTCAGTAGAGAAGGCTGTTATGAGCACTACCATTACCCCAGGGAGACACAGGTCCACCTGATATGACGGAGGCCTCGGGCTCAGAACTGTCGAAGTCCAAACAACACTGGATGGGTACAAGCTCCCCAGCCTGTAGAACCAAAAGGCAAGGCACCGGTTAAACGGCCCAAACCTGTGGAACAGTGGGATCTTGCTCCCCTCCACCACCTTCCTCAGATGAGGAGGACTATGACCCACAAGGCCATCTTAACGTTGTGGATGAGTGGCGCGAAGACGCGTCACTTTCAGATGAGGACGACTGGCAGGACCTACCACAGTCATCCTAAAAATACGTCAAAGAGACCGTCCTCTGGGAGAGGGACGGACACAAGCATGCCCGGAGGGTCCCAAAAGCTAAGACGGCCAAAGATGGTACCTTCTTGGACGAGCTCGAGTACCACTCTTCGATCCTCGGAATATTCGCCACAAAGAACTTAGGCCAGAAGCCAAAGGCCTACTGTTCAGAGAAGCCTTCATAACCGAACTCAAGAGGCACGTAAACCCGTTCGCCGCTTTAAACAAGGCACAAGCTTCCTGGAAACAGGTCTTCCGAGCCCCACCCGGACGAGGTGGTTGTGGGCGGGCTGGTCGGCAGCAGAGCCGAGCCACCAGCCGCTCCTGGTCGAAGGGTTCCAGAACATACCCAAGGGCGCAGTGCAATACACGTCGGAGGATGGCGTTTTTCCTAAGCAATATCTTCCTAGTCAAGAAGAAGACGGGTGATAACCGACCGGTTATCAATCTGAATTACTACACGGTATACAGATAATTTCAAGATGAAAGGTATTCATCTCCTATAAGATCTTCTCATCGCGAACGACTGGTTCACGCATACCTGTCAGTCCACATCGCCCTAGATTGTCGTTGTTTCCTCCGGTTCAGTTGGAGAGGACGTACATGCCAGTTCACATGTCTGCCTTTCAGTCTCAACTCCGCTCCGTGGGGCTTCACGAGGCTGCTGAAGCTGGTGATGGCTCACATCCGAACCTCAGGCATGCGATGTCTCGTTTATTTGGACGATTTGCTGATTTCCTGCGAATCCGCATCCAGACTACGATTGCAGATGAAGTTTGTCGTTCACTTTCTGGAATCCTTAAAGGGTTTCGTGATGAACAGACAAAAATCGTCTCTCTCTCCCGCCCAGTCACTTCAGTTTGAATCCTCCCCTCCTCCTCTTCGGTCTTCAGACCTGTCAGCTCAAGCCACTCCCACGCAGTGCTGACAGCCTCAGGACACAAAGCTGGTTCACAGTGCTCTGTGTGCTGATAGCACGTCTGAATTATTCACCCATGCGTGAATACGTCAGACGTGAATGAAGCCTTTTTAGTCCCTCTGGTGGCCGTCTGATTGACTGCAACTAGAGGTGTTCCAAACTTCCAATGTAAACACTGTATTTTCTATTAAAATACAGTGCTTACAAGAAAAGGGCTGCAGGGAGCTGTAGCACTCACCTGAACAACCTCATTAAGCTGAAGTTGTTCAGGTGACTATAGTGTCCCTTTAACATTGTATTGACTATTCACTTCAGGTGAAAGGGGTTTTCAATCACAATTTTTCTGCACTGTAACTTTCTTGGTTTGTGCTTCGCAAGTAACGAAAAACCTCAATAGCAAGCCAGTAACCAACCTCATGCTGATGATTTGCATT